TTTAATAGCATAAATTGTGATGATTTATCAGAAGATACGCAAAAAATACGAAATTACACAAATTTCGTATAAACTATAAGGATGAACGACAGCAACAATGAGGAACATAAAGGAGTTATATGACGAATGATAAATAATGAAAATGTAAGGGAAGGCAATGTGACTAATAAAGTGGGAAATAGTGGAATTAGTGGCGAATAGAATATCATATGAACCCATGAGCAATTTTCGTGGGTATTTAGTTACATTACAAAAAGAATCCAAGAATCGATAATCAATGAATAATTAAACAAAACGCTTGAGCGGTATTACCCAGTTAGAAACGAGAATGCGTGCGAGGAAGGATGGAAATTTAAATGGACGTGAGAGCGATGGCCAAGAATGCAGAGGATTAGAACAGGAAAGTTATTAAATGAGACATATAAAGCAGAGTATTGTAAGAAGACCAAGTTTTGGAATAGATCTTAATACATTTTCAATTAAAATAATAATGACCATGCATGCAAGGGAGGTGTAACGGGAAATATTAAATAACGACAGAGTTATTGTTGTTACTGTTCTTTGAAATTTTATATAAAATTACATGGATGGATGTTTGTGTGTGTGTGTGTGTGTGTGTGTGTGTGTGTACGAGTGAAGCAGAGTACCATAAATTACAATGTTACTTGATTTTTGAAAGAGGTGTTATTAGTTATTGGTAATGGTAAGGCAATTTCTCGAATCCCAGATATAAAGAAGTAAATATTTCTTACGTAAGTGTTCATAACCGAGAATTTGTATAGACCAGTGCTTGCCAACTGGGGGAGAAATGACGTCAGGGCGGCGTTCCCCTCCGCGAAAGGGTCTCGGAGAAGCAGCGCGAGCAAAAGGGGGAGGGACGGAGCGAGGGATCGACAGCCTTGGCAACGAGCTATTGCCTGCGTTTCGTGCAACAATAAGAGCACATTTATGCCCCTTTAATTTTCTTTCGATGTGGAAAGAAATGTTTCTTTATGTAGATACCATAACAGTTGCGAAGTGTTTAGTGCGTTTGAAAGAACTGCAGTATGTTAAAAATTTCAACCTACAGAGGCATTACGCAGCTTTGCAATCCATTGAATCCCGCGAAATGAAAATAATTTCTGATAATTTACAGACATCCTTCAATCATGAGATAGGATTTTTCAGATAGGAGATTATGAAAAAGTTACTGAAAATCACGAGGATTTACAATATCCTCAAACAAAACTGTTCATGAAATAATCAAGCCAGGAGTTCAAATTCTTCCACATGACCCCCTCCCGGGTATCTATTTGTTAACATTAATTATTGGTTGGTATTAAAATTGTTATAATATACAACTCTGTATAAAATATTATTGTACTAGAAAGTTAAAACTGTCTTTTCCAAAAATATTATAAGTTAGAAGAATGGCAGTGGAATTACAAGTACAAGTTACGATAAACAGAGTCGGATATTGCTTTGACTAATAATAATATGTTACATTTTTTAATATTTTATTGAATCATACACATTTAAATATTTTAAAATCGTATTAAAATACGATTTAAAAACGTAATTATCGAGCGAATGTTTTCCCCCACTTCCGTACCATCATTGGAACACTGTTCACCGCCGCCGTGTCGAGCACTTACGCTTGCTCCGCGGCTCGGCTCAGAGAAGGAGAGCAGATTTTTGTGACGTCTCAGATCACTGAGTTGGCAAGCACTGCTATAGACGGTCTCGTCCAAGCCACAAACAAATTTTATCACGACGGATCGACCGCGGAATTTAAATAGCGCAATTGTCAAGGTACATAAGTAAATAAAATATCGAAGAATAAAGTTAGTGTATTTCTGGTAAATAATAGCGGTGTAGTACGAGGAAAATTCGCCAGAATATGAAGGTGAATATGAATTTGGCAAAGATGGAAATTAGAATGCAAGAATAACAATTTTTAGATACTGAATTTATATTCTGACATGAATTTTTAAAATTTCCACAATTTGCAGAAAACATTAGCAGAATTCATTTTATTTTACTTATGATTCCTATGTTTTTAGATGTGCGCACTCCTTTTGGAGCCATTCGATAATTTTATGGGATAATGCACAACAAACAAGAAAATTATAATTCAAAGAAAATTAGCGCACACATGCGTTCGCGCGCGTGTGTACGTGTTCGTAAGTGTGTGTGCCGTGTGTATGTGAGTGACCACAAAGCTAGTTCATTTGTGAATATTCTGTACTCTTCTTCCTGATGTATGTGTTAGTAGCAGAATGATGTCCATGACGTCGCAATAGTAGTCGAGACCCAATCAGCAAGAGACATGCTAATAAACTTCACAGTAATGATATATCAAATATTTTCAGCCGAAAAGCGAATTCCTTTTGCCACCTGCTATGTTAATCATTAAACTGAATCCTCTTTCTGCTTCATTGTAATTCACTGTCGCTACTTTTATTAGGTTCTTTGTCAGTCAGTTAAGTACAAGACGTTATTTCAAGATATGTCTTTGAAGCCCTTCAGGTTTTCTTCCATTTCCTAATACTGCACCCTTCAAATTCAGAATCAAATATGCCGCTTTGATATTTCGATTGTCTTTTGTTTTCTCGATCTTTCAGGGTAGCATAGGTCGATTGATTGAATGAAAAAGTCGACATCGACCACAACCACAACACCACTCAACACGATGTAAAATTCTTAGAGGCCGCAACGTGTATTGTGACAAGTTTGTGTAATATAGTTCCAGAATGTACATGGTTACTACTTAACAGTTATATTATAGTTTTTGTCGTTCACGTTGGTGGATGAGTGAGAAAAGTCCTCTTCATTGCGCGGTTCATTTTAAGTTTTCAAGATGGTTTTAAATAGAGGTTAGATATTTTATTTCTTATGAAAATTTATCATATTTATTGTTTATGTTGCGATTATTTAATTTTGTGTTGTTTACAGCTCAGATTGGCACCATGAGTCGTGAAGAAAGAATGGTAATTACCATTGGAGAAATTATTCAGGAGCTTATCCAAGCCCATGAACAAAGTAAGGATGTCAATCTAAATAAGTTGAAAACCAGAATTGCATCGAAATATGGTTTGGAAACATCCCCGAGATTAGTGGACATTATTGCAGCTGTACCTTCTGACTACAAGAAACAGTTGTTGCCTAAACTGAAAGCTAAACCAATCAGAACTGCTAGCGGAGTAAGTATCGTGGATGCCCATATTTTCTGGTATCATGTAAACGCAGTTCAGTCCCATTTCTAAGACACATAATCTGGATGGGATTCAACTCTGTAGTACATAACATTGAGAGGAAGTGTAAATAAGGAATAAGTAACAGTAATGTAAACTTGTTAAAAGTACGGATCCTTAGTTAGTTTGCGGTGCTCTTGTGCAAAACAGTTCGTAGTTAAGATTTCTGATGTATGTTGTACATTAAATTTTGTCTAAGAATTCATTAAAAAAAAATTAAGTTCCTTTCTCTATTTGATCCTTTTCAGATAGCTGTTGTTGCTGTAATGTGCAAACCTCATCGTTGTCCACACATCAACATGACTGGTAACATTTGTGTCTACTGCCCTGGTGGTCCCGATTCTGACTTTGAGTATTCTACTCAATCATATACTGGCTATGAACCAACATCAATGCGAGCTATACGTGCCCGCTATAATCCGTACTTGCAAACTAGACACAGAGTGGAACAGGTACTTTACCTTCATGAATATAAATATCAATCAGTTTTCATGTGTATTTTCATTCATTAGTATAAATACAAATAATTCTTTGTCTCTAGCTGCAGCAACTTGGGCATAATGTGGACAAAGTAGAATTTATTGTAATGGGAGGCACCTTCATGTGCTTGCCTGATGATTACCGGGATTATTTTATCCGTAATCTACATGATGCTCTCTCAGGACATACAAGCAACACTGTTGATGAAGCTGTAAAGTGAGTTTAGATTATTTATTAATGGGTGGTGCTAAATTTACACATACTTTCTTGCATTATTTTTAAGTTTTGTAATTTTCAAAAATTAAGCTTGTAATGAAAATTAGGCCTGTGCCATTATTGTAGGCATCCCTTGTTCTTCTAGTGGAAAATATTTTAAGAAAACATTTGAAGCAGGTTTTGAGAAAATTATTTTTTTATAATTTGAGTTAATTTAAAACAGAAATTACATCAAAAGTATTTGTTTAAAAAAAGGCCATTTACAATTCTTTTTAAAGAATGTTAAATTTTGTAATTTTCAAAAAACAGAGATCTCTTAAAATAGGACACTTTTTTTAATCATGTCACATACAAGGAAAAATGTAGAAGAATGTGGAGCCATTTTTGAAAAAATAATAGTTTAAAAATCGCCTAAAATGAATGCAAAATTAGTGAAAACTTACTCATTCTTGAAAGATTGTACATAACCTTATTCGAGATCTGTCTTTGAAGAACAGAGTTTATTAAGGCAAAAAAATCTTTGTCTTAAATATCGTAGGAAGGCACTAAAATATTTTTTGAAAAATCAGGGGTTTGAATGAAAATAAGACTTTCGCCATACTTTTAAGCATCCTATATTCTAAGAGAAAAGTTATATGTAAAATTTAGGGCCAGTTTTGAGAAAGTTTTGAAAATGTAATTGAGGCTTAATGCAAAGTACCCCCCCCCCCATCAAAATATACATTTCAAAATTGCAGGGTCACAAGTTTGCTCAGATCAATCAGGGAATATCAATTTTGGAAAAAAACATTCAAATGGTTTAGACATTGATCATGGGTAGGCATACACATTTTGCTGTCAATCTATTTTTTGGAATCAAGGACCCACAAAACCTGCAGTCTGACTACACAACGTGACAGAGGAAGTAACTACTATGTGTGTAGGAACATGATATATCCACTTTCATTACCAGGGCCTGGCAATAAGAGTTTTCTGGTGAAAAATCATAGTTTTTAGGGGCACAATTAAAATATTATATTTTCTTATGATTTAAGGTGAGAAAATAAGAGTGATGATTAATGCATGCATGTATGATTTATCATTGTGATGTTCTAGAATTACCTGTAGAACATGTAGTATATTATTGATTATGTAAATGCTAATATAATATTTTCCTTTTTAGATATTCAGAAAAAAGTAAAGTTAAATGTATTGGTATCACAATTGAAACTAGACCGGATTATTGCCTGAAAAGACATTTGTCAGACATGCTAAGGTACGGGTGCACTCGTCTAGAAATTGGTGTGCAGTCCGTATACGAGGATGTGGCTCGAGACACAAACCGTGGCCACACAGTTAAGGCTGTATGCGAGAGCTTCCAATTGGGAAAAGATTCTGGTTTTAAAATTGTTGCACATATGATGCCTGACCTTCCAAATGTGGATTTAGAAAGAGATATGGAGCAGTTCATTGTAAGTCTCTAAAATTATTAAAAACTTTAACTTTAGTTTTAGTGTTTTAAATCTTAATTGCCTAAACAAATGCAGAGATGGTCCTTTATTTCCTTCTGGACAATAAGAAGTCGTAAAGCCTTAAGGTTTATTCTTTCACTTTTCCCCCTTCTCTCATTTGCTGTGCCTCCGGATTTGTTGCTTCACCATATTTGCCCACCATTGTTGCCCATCCCTCATTACTTTCACATTAATTTTCAGAATAAATCCTTAGCTACTCAGCTGCAGAGGTCTTGGTGCTCTGGCATCATCAAGCCTTATGATTAATAAAGTGTAATTAATCTTTCAGGAATTTTTTGAGAACCCAGCATTCAGAGCTGATGGACTGAAGATATACCCCACATTGGTTATCAGAGGTACTGGATTATATGAGCTTTGGAAGACTGGGAGATACCGTAGCTACCCTCCCAATACTTTGGTCGATCTTATTGCTCGCATCTTGGCTTTAGTGCCCCCATGGACCAGGGTGTACAGAGTGCAGCGAGATATTCCTATGCCACTTGTCAGGTATGATTCCCCCCTCTAAATCAATATGGAATTCTAAACTCTAGTAACCCTTTCAAAAAAGAAATTCCTATTTCTGTTATTTCTCAAATAAGAATACATATATCTTTATGAATTCACTATCAAATTAACTTAATTTTCAACATGAGTTTCAATTAATATGAATTAACATCTTAGTTCTGGGGTGGAACACGGCAACCTGCGAGAGCTGGCTTTGGCCAGAATGAAGGATTTAGGCACTGATTGTAGAGATGTACGTACACGAGAAGTGGGTATCCAAGAAATTCATCACAAGGTCAAACCATATGAGGTATGTAATTGCCAATTCTTTGCTGTATTGTTGAAAAAATGTATCGTAATCTTTCATTGCAAAATAATTTTTGTTTTGAAGGTTGAGTTAATACGTCGAGATTATTATGCAAATGGTGGTTGGGAAACATTTTTGTCTTACGAAGACCCTGAACAAGATATATTGGTGGGCCTCCTGAGACTAAGAAAATGTTCTGATGAAACATTTAGGTAATTTATTTTTTTCCTAGTCAAATTTGGATACACACTTTGGAAATATTGATGTACCAAGATCAAAAGAGAAACTAATGAACCTGTTTGTATAATAAAAGATTTCAGTTAATCTTAAAAAAATGTTTTCTATAAAAATACAGCAAGCACATATTTACCAGTAAAGACCATTTAGTAGTTTTTGAGAAATTTGTAAAACTAATATTAACTCACAATTGTCCCTCTACAATTACCAAAACTATTTATTTCTAGTTTTGTCATGTATTGCATGCCTGGAAAACCTAACAAATTCTCAATTCTTTTCCCACTTTTGTAGAAAAAATTCACAATCACTATAATATTAATTTTATGTAATTATGACCAAATTGAGACAATATTTAAACCATGAAATTGAAAAATTACATTACATTTATTTAACTTTCGAAGTTTAGATTTCCTGTTATGGAATAATCTTGATAACATTTTTTCAATATTTGCTTGTTATCTGAAAAAATGTGTAACACAGTCATTGATAAAATTTCTTTTCCAGACAAAACATTACACTTAAATGCACTATTAATGTTGTGAATAATGTGCTAACAAAAATTTGACTGACTCTTCTAGGCCAGAGTTGAAAGGAAGCGTGTCAATTGTGAGAGAGCTCCATGTATATGGGAGTGTAGTTCCTGTGAGTGCAAGAGACCCATCGAAATTCCAGCATCATGGATTTGGTATGTTGCTCATGGAAGAGGCTGAGAGAATAGCTGTTGAAGAGCACGGTTCCACTAAAATTGCTGTTATTTCTGGTATGTTTAAATGTTCAGTCTTTTCGTTTTGACAATACCTTTTAAGTATTTTAATGAAATGTCACTTAAAATTTATTTTTTAGGTGTTGGAACCAGAAACTACTACAGAAAATTAGGCTATGAATTGGATGGTCCCTACATGTCAAAATTTCTGTGAATAATTGATTTTATCTTGATTGATCCTAGAAAATGTGTACATACCTATGTAAGTTTCAATTGTATATATTGCCCTATGTTGAACGTATGTTTTATTTCTGTAAATTGAGTATTGCTTTAACAAGCTTTATTTGTTTGGAAATTTGTTTATGTTTGTAAATGGGCAAAAATAAAGAATCCAGAATATGTTTTATGAGATTTGCTGTTTATTTTCTCATTCAAAAAGTATTGAATCTAAAGTATCAAAACAAAAATTTCAGAGTAGGAGAATACCAATGATTCCAAAGCTTAATGAGATGCTAAAACTCTACAACCCACAATCTGATCCAGAAAATAATTCATGAAAAGATTTTGTACTGACAAAGGTAATCAGATGAATAAATCTAAAAATTCATTGGCACAGAAAAAATAAAATTTAGTTTTCCACAAGCAAACTGGAGATAAATGTCAGTTTGGTTGCTCTTCATTTTCATTACATTTGCTTACACTAATACTGCAGAACACTCTTTTTTTTTTCAATCTCTTCTGTGCATTTTTGTTCATAGAAGGTTCTGTAGTCTTTGTTTTCAATTTTGCAAATCTGTTTCAACAATCTACACTACTTAACTCATTCACATACATTTCTCTTTAAAGCTCTCGACTCGATAACCTCTTTACAATTATTTTAGGGGGGGAATGTATGTTGCTCATCACACTTCACTTGCCTAAACACAGGGTGATTTATTGGATTTTAGAAATGTATATATTTCAGGAATATTACTGATCAATTATCAATTACAAATTCGTGCCTCAGCTCTCTAAGAGGCGCACTTGCTTCGACGCCCATGTGCGGCCCACGCTGCAACTTCACCAACCGAGATTCCCCTCGCCCCCTCACAAAGGCGCGTTTCCTAGCGCCGACGGCCACCGCGAGGGAGGCAAAATGAACAAAGACAGTGGAATTCGCCGACGTCGCAGCTACGGCCATACAAATCCCACAGGGCGTACAATACACAATCTTGAGGGCGGGCGGCAGCGGCTCCGCGCGGGCAACTCGCGGCCAAAGTGCTCGAAGGGCAACGAATTAAAAAACGCAGAAAAGCCGATAGAATGTTCGAAAAGCGCGTCGTAAGTCCCAATCAGAGACAATGCTCTAAGCACGTGAAGGAATTCGGAGCTGTATGAGGTGGGGATGGAGGAGCGAAGGAGGCAAGAAGTTGAGGAAACTTCACTGGTAATCTTCGGCCCGAACCAGGCACTTGCATTTTTTTCACTAGAACGAGGCACTTGTCAACATGAGGCCAGAACGAGAACTCAGCAGCGAGCAATTAGGCAGTTATGGCGGAATAACACGTTCACCGGCGTACGACAGGCCAACATCCGCCTGCCTTAATCTTCCGATCATCTGTTACTTGCCAACGGAATCGATTCTGTGTGACCAGTTAATCGTATCGACACCCGAAAAGCTGTGATAAGGATGTGCAGTCCGTTCTTACGGCTGCTAAACATTAACGGGAACGACGTCTGATGATTCCCGATTCACGCACCGACTTGGTGACACCTCGCTTCCTGCGTGGACGCGATCGGCCGCTGACGTCTCTGGTGCAGCCTTCGAGAGCCCCGGGTGCTTCTCGCTGCATACGGGGCCATTTCGACGGTCTTTTGGCGAACCTCTTCCGCCGCGAGCGACAGGTAACAGGCCACGATCATGTAATCCACTGAAGTGAGGTAACATCTTCACCATCACAATTTAAAAAAAAAAATTAATTCCCCCCTATTAGTTAAATAATAAATTGAACTGGAAACTGCTATATGGAGAGGAGAATAAATGTATTTAAAGACATTTATTCAAATGAAACTGTGTTCCCGCCGCTCAGACGGGCTGCACTTGATAAAATACCATCTTTGGGCATCATTTCGTTAACTAGTAGAAAAATGCAATCCTTCGACCTAGGGCGCTCACCCCTGACGTGCTCAATGCCAGCAGCTGGCAGGTAAGATGCACGCCCGGCACCCTCTAAACAAATTTAGCGTGCGAGCCCTGTTGTCCACAATCAACCGACGCACCTTATGTGTGTCGGCAAACCTCCGTTTGCAGTGGTGACGCATAAGTATCATCACATTACACATAATGTAGTGAGTGACACGTTGATAAAACTTCCAACTCTCCAAATGGTGATGGCTTTATTGTGATTCTCCAGTTAGCACCATAATATCAGTTTCCAAAATGGCGAGTTTGCAACAAAAGGCATTTTGCATTTTGGAATATTAAAAGTGCTTATCAGTTATTACTGTGCAGCCTGCACTTAGAAGAGTATGTAGCGGAGCTACCAAGTCACCAGAGCGTTCTGCAGTGGTAGCCAGTTCAGGAACACTGGATGTCTCTGAGAATGTACAGGTACCGGACTACTAAGTATTTCCGACAAAACAGTGCAGGCATTTACAGAGACTTTCAGGCATAGTCCTTGCAAATCAACAAACCGTGCAAGTCGGGATCGCGACAAGTTGCAGTCAACTGAAAGATTTTGCGTTGACAATTAAAACAGATACCAAACAGTTTGCAATTGCTGCAACAACTAGGGTACAACAAGAACATGCGATTATGTTTTGTGACGTAATGCACAGAGCAATGGAAGAACAAGATTTTGCTTCGGTGATGACGTAACATTTCACTTGAAAGGGAAAGTGAAATGTATGCGTTTGCAGGACAAAAAATCAAATCCACGTGTAGGATCACAAGCACAATTCTCCCAAACTTTGTGTTTTGTGTGTAAGGTGTAAAGGTGTACGGACTTTTTTTTTCTTGCAAGACCACAACTTTTTGTGTTTGGTATGACATTAGTATATGTAACAGTGATTATTGGCACAACTTACAACTTTTTCAAAAATTTCGTACTTCAAAAAGATGGTGCTCCTCTGCATCAGTATAAAGATGCGTGTAGTTTCGTTAAAGAGGAACAATGGATCGGTTGATGTGCAGCTAACTTGGTCATTGTGTCACCATTGCCAACAATTGAGAAACTGAAGAATCGCATTGTTAATGCAGAAACGAAATGGTACATCGTGTTTGAGCCGAATTAGAACTATGGCGTAGATGTATCGTGTCCCAAGGGAAGTCACATTAAACACGTCAAGCAAGCCGTTTCGAAAACCACTGCTCTCATGGCTCAGTTGCTTGCATTTCACCACTGAGGATCTGGGTTCGATTCTAGTAGAACTTCATGTGAAATTTGTTACGACAAAACGAGGCCTTGTGAAGCGTCCTAAACCTCACCCCTATCCTTACTCCTTCCCCTAGACAACGGGTAGATGACGCATGGCGCTTGCGCGAAGACGCTACCGGTTGGCGATTTCCAGACTTGACAATGACTGACGACAGACTTTACAACACAGCGGCCGCTTAGGGCGCCTTCCCACGCCGCGCTTCCTTCAAGCAGAGAAGCCCTTCCGACGCCAGCACCGCCGGAGCCACGCCGCACCGCACCCGCCGTGGAAGGGGGTGGGGTCTGGAGGGGTAGGTTTCGCCGCCCTCGGCGACGACGAACAAAGGGACCGGAGGCAGGTAGAACGCATCCCATTTAAAGCTGTTTCTGCTAGCGGTGGCGCGTGGCCCTCCTCCGCTTCTCGTAGCTGGAGTTCGGGCGTCGGCTGCCGCAGCAGCCGCCACCCGCTGCCGTGGGAAGCCTCCATTCAAACCAATGCTCTGCTACGCGCCGGCGGGAAGGGGCCCTTAGAGGGCACTTGTTAACGGAGGTTTACTCCAGTGCGCTCAACGCTCCTTAAAGAAGAAGACGCGTTGTGTCGATATTGACGCAACAAATTAAAAAAGATTAAGCAGCCTTAAGTTGTGGATTCCATCTGGATATGGGACGGTTCTTTTTGCATCACTGCAGAGCGCTATATTTCATACATTCAGTAATCCTCGTGCTCTGCTCGAAAAATCCGAAAGCACGGTTCTTTCTTTAAGCAAAAGGGATTCTAGAGGATAGTTCGTCGAGTTAGACGTCTCAAAATGAGCGGCAAGTTATCCTACAAGGACGTCTCGAAACGTAATCATCTCACCATCCATAAGAACCCTGGGCACTGAGTTTGGGGAAGAATATCCCTTGATTTGACGTGCTTCCTTCCTCCACGCCAGACATGGTTGGGCAAGACCACTGAGGAGTCATATGCTCTCCGTGATGAATTTTTACTTTCTGAAATGGTTCTCGCCTTCGCTCTGCACTTGTCTTCAATTAAGTTATCCTCTGTTGGAGAGGGTGTCAAACGTGCCAGTGCCCTTCAGCAGATCGAGTTCCATCGCGGGACAAAGGCGTATCGCGGTTTACCGGTTGATTGGGGATTGCAATATTCCCTGCTTGAAGTACGTCACTGATAAACTGTGCTGCAATTTCGTCTATGTCGTCAAAGTCGCCCTCTGAGTCTGGCATTCGCTTAAAATTTTAGCCAGTTATCATGTTGTACACTGCATTGAGGGGGTAGATCCAGCCCATGACCTAGGCCATCGATGTAGAGTAGACGATATGGTCGCTTCCATACAGGTTGTCTAGACTGGACCATTGCAGAGCGGCTGCAAGTGAGGGGTTGCATAGAGATGCATCAATGCATAAGCTCGAGTTCGTTGCTTTGACGAAATAAGTTGCTTCACCAGACTTTAGAATAACCAAGTTTGAGGTGTCCATTGCCGATTTCCATGTTGCCTCTCGGACAAGTGCGGGAAGAGCCCCAAAGTGGATTGTGGGCATTTACATCCTCGACTATCAAGAACGGTGAAAGCAGTTGTAAATCAAGATCAAAATTCATCGGCAGTTACACTCTCCTGGAGGGATGTAGATGTTAAAGTGAGAGTGAAGATGGGAGGTACACCAGCACTCACTGTTTGAAGATCAGTATGAAGAGGTACCTCTGTAGGCAGCAACGAATCGTTAACCAATGTAGCCACTCCGCTGGAAATAGTTAAGATTTTTTTTAAAAATTGTATTGAATGCTTTTATTTTAAACCAAAATCGTTAAGTGATTTATTCTTAATTATTTGAAAATCAGAAAAAAATTAAAACATAAGGTTTTAAATTTATCATTGAATTATTCCACTTTTACTTTAAAAAATAAAGATAAAGTATATTTATTCTTATCTTATATATGTATTTGAGGGGTCCGGTGCAATACCATCCCAACCCACAAAATCTTAAATTTTAGTTCTAGTTTCATGCACCTGAAAC